ACGATGTGCGGGAGGTGAGGGCGGAAGAAGGTCAGTGACTCCAGCTTGCTGAAGTCCAACTGCAAAGCAGGGAGGTGAGGTAAAGGAGGATCTACAACCCAGAACCGGAGCCCCAGAGTTCCAGGCTGAGGGGCTGGACTGTGTCACTCAGCAGGCAGAGAGTGGTTCTTACTGGTTTCATTTGCTCAGTAAATAATCCCTGAGGTCTGCACATCAGCCCTGTACTCTGTGATGCTGGAGACTAAAGCAAGCTCTTCTTTCTGCTCTGCCTCAAAGGGGCTTCCAAGCTGAAGGGGAAAACAGGTTCAGGGGCCATGAGGGCAGAAGTGGTTACCAATGGTGCCACTAAGTGGCAGTGTGGGAGAACAGGGGTAGATTGAGGAAGGAAAGCATAAGGACGGGGTATGAGATTTGTGCTGGGGGGGGGTTTCATGAGTGGTACATTTTAGTACTGGTGAGACTGAGGCAGGAGGACTGTAAATTTGAGACTGCTCCAGGCTAAGAAGCTGACTCCAGAAAATGCAAAGAGCTGGGAATGTAGCTGAATTGGTAGAGTACTTGCTGAACATTCACAAGGTCCTGGGTTCCATCCTCTACATCACATAAACGAGGTGTGGTAAGTTGTGTATTTGGGTGGTGTAACCTGGAGGATCAGAAGTTAAAGGCTCCCTCAGCTATATAGTGAGACCGAGGCCAGTCTGTGCTGAACATGGTTTTTAAATGAGGGGGAGAGAAATTTGCTTCTGGGGCTCAGATGGAATTAGAAGGTGGGGAGGCTGAGTCAGGGACCTGGGCGCAGATCTGTGAGGGCAGTTCAGGAAGAGATGCTAGGGAATGGGGAGAGGAATATAAATTCAGTGACACTCGGAGCAGGGGTGGGGGAGAGGGCTAGTGTAGGGAGGGTGAGAGACTAGGCATAGTGAGAGGTGAGGTGAAAGAGACAAATGTGGAGGACATAACTGTTCTGAGGCATGATGGGATCTGTAGTCCAAAGGTCAAGCCCAGAGCGAAAGCGGGGAGGGGTAGGGAGTGGGCAGGAGAAAGTGAATAAGGGTGGGTGAGGAGGGATGGAGGGCAGAAGATATCAAGACAGAAGGCAAAGACAAAGAAAGGTGATCCTGAGAGGGGAGGGGAAAAACGGAAGTGACTGGTGAAAGCTTGGCAATCAAAGGTAAGAAGTTACAAAGACACAACACAGGAACAGAAAACCGAATCCTCACAGAGGCACGCAGGTAAGAAGTTCATGAGGCATAGGGGAATGGACAACTCCTTGTCTTTTAAGAAACTGATTTTATTTGAACAGGGTATCACTATATAGGTCAGGCTGGCCTGGAACCCACAGAGGCCTGCCTCTACCTCCTGAGTACTGGGATTAAAGGTGTGCTACCATACCCTGCATAGCTTTTATTTTAATATTAGAGAAATATTGGACTGGAGAGGTGGATCTGTGGTTAAGAATGCTTACAACAAAGCTAAAGAGAAACTCTCTCAAAAACCAAAAAGAAAAAAACAAATGCGTACAGCTCTATCAGAGGACCCAAGTTCAGACCCCAGCACCCACATTGAGTGAATGATAACTCAAGACTCAGGGAATCTAGCACCTTCTTCTGATCTCCATGGCTATACCTCCTCATACAAGTGTGTGCACATTCTCTCCCCTCTCATGCACAGGGGACATGCACACATACACAAAACATTAGAAAAAGAGAAATACTTTGTATGCTAGCCCTGGTGGTACAGACTGCAAGAAACTGAGGAAGGAGGATCACCTGCTTAACTTACTGAGTTCAAGACTGGCTTGGTGAGACTGTTTCCAAACAAATAGGAAAGAGAGGACTGATGATATGGTTCAGTGGTGGAGTCCCTGCCTGGAATCCCTAAGTGAGGGGCTGGGGTGTGGCTCAGTGTAGAGCCCCTGCCTAGAATCCCCCAGTGAGGGGCTGGGGATGTGACTCAGTGGTAGAGCCCTTGCCAAGAATTCTCCAGTGAGGGGCTGGGGGTGTGGCTCGGTGGTAGAGCACCTGCCTAGAATCCCCCAGTGAGGGGCTGGGGTGTAGCTCAGTGGTAGAGCCCCCTGCCTAGAATCCCCAGTGAGGGGCTGGGGTGTAGCTCAGTGGTAGAGCCCCTGCCTAGAATCCCCAGTGAGGGGCTGGGGGTGTGGCTCAGTGGTAGAGCCCTTGCCTAGAATCCCCCAGTGATGAATTGGAGATGTGACTCACTGATAGAGCCTACCCTATGTGAGGAGCTAGAGTCAGTCACTGGAGAGAAAGGGGGGGGGCAGCAATCTGTTTTAGGTTATCTGAAGAGACCTTACATCATGGTAGTCAGGCAGCAGAGAGAAGAATGGTTTGGGACTAGAAAGCCTCCCAAGGCCAATCAAGTAACTTCCTTCAGCTCATCCCATCCTCTACTTTCACCACCACCTCTGGATAAAGCCACCATATGAATTGATAAAGGGATTAACCCATTGATTGAGCCTTCAGGATCCAATCACTTCCTCAAAGCCTAACAATCTATAACTGAATTCTTAATACCCCTTGCAGGATAGTTCACACTCAAATTATAGCAAGTGATGAGTAGACAATGGTCTGCTGTTTTCGGACCTCTCCAAGTGACCTCTCTAAGGTCCATAAATGAAGGCGGAGCAGGAGGCTGGGGGTGGGGCTCAGATGGTGGCAAACATGTTGAGAATTCACAAGGTGCTGAGTTCAAACCCCAACACTGCATAAACTGCATGGTGGTGCCTGCACAGTGTAAATCCAGCAGTTGGAAGATGGAGGCAGGAGAATCAGAAGTTCAAGGTCATTTTTGGCCACATGAGGAATTTGAAGCTAACCTGGGATGCATGGAAATAAAAAAGGAAGGAAAGCTAGAGCCGGGCAGGCTAGTGCACACTTATAAACCCCAGCTCTCCAGAAGTTGAAATAGCAGTCATGAACTACACATTGAGACTCAACTGACTACAAAAACTACAGAGGATATGGTAAGTGTATGACAGGGCAGAGCCATTCAAGACACATTGTTTGAGATGATGAGTGTGAACAAGGATGAGCAACTTGCACACAAATTCCAAGGCACAGGGAACAAAGACTGATGAGTCCTTGTAGCCCTGGACCAGAAAAAAAAATCCATATTCTGTTCCAACTTTTGATGGGAAACACCTGGAGAACTTTAAGCACAGGCATGCCGGGGTCATAGTTTCATTTAAACAAAACAATAACAGAATCCTGTCACTGGGCTGGGAATGATTTCACAGTCAAAAAGAGGACTAGGTGGGGGTAGTGCATGCCTGGGCTCCAGCACGCAGGAGGTGGAAGTGAGAAGATCAGGGGTTCAGGGTTATCCTTGACTTCAGGAGATTCTCTTTGTCTTCCAAACAAAACTGGAGAGTCTGGGAATGTAGCTCAGTCGTCAGGGTAACTTCCCAGTATGCAGCAGACATTGTATAAATGGCATGGTGGCTCAGGCTTGTAAATCTAGTGTTTGGGAGATAGAGGCAGGGGCATCAAAAGCTCAAGATCAGCTTGAGCTACATGTGGGCCTGTATCTGAAATAACAAAATAGTCAAAAGGGGAGCAAGCATTAGGGGCATGGAATCTTACAGATTCTATCTACAGGGGTGGTGAACTAGGTCTGGGGGCAGGGGCCATGCAGCAACTAAGGTTAAAAGAAGAAGGGAATCTGAGCTGAAGTTGAGCCATTGTATACTGGACATATTTTAGGTGGGGGCAATCTTTTGGACATGCCCAGTTGGTGATGCCTCTGGAAATCCAAGTCAGGGTATCAGGTAGCCAGTTGGTTATGAGAGTGGTAAAGAGGTCAGGGCTGAAAATACAAGTTTTAGTAACGTCAGCATCCAGGAGACATTTAATGCCAGAGAATGGGACAACTGTGAGGGGTAATTAGATAGAGTTATGACTCTGCTCTAGAAACTTTGGAACATCTAAGGCATCTCTATGAGAGAGAGAGTGATCTGGGGGAAAGCAGAAAGACAGAGCCTCACAGAGGGCAAAGTTAGTGAGGGTGGGGTATGGGGCTCAATGGTAGAACACCTGCCTAGAATCCCCCAGTGAGGGTCTGATGCTGTGGTTCAGTGGTAGAGCACCAGCCTAGAATCCCCCAGTGAGGGGCTGATGGTGTGGCTCAGGGCTAGAGTGCCTGCCCTAGGTTCAGTCCCTACCACACAAGGTGGAAGGCAAAGAAGGGTGGAAAGTACATAATGTTTTATGAAGCAAGAAGTCAGCCATCTGTGCCCAGTGCTGCTGAGAGCTGGAAAAAGATATGGAAGACTAGAAGGTTTGTGACAGGGACAGTGGTGACGAGCTCGATAAGAGGTGACTTTTGTCTGATTTCAGAGATAAAAGCCTCGCTCCAGCATTGAAGGGGATGGGGGCATGAAAGAAGAAGAGGAAAGCAATTATTTTGGTATGCAAATGATATAGAGATGGGTGTAGTGGTTCACGCCAATAATCCCATCACTAAAGAGGCAGGGGAATGACGCAGTTCAAAGCCTGCCTGAGCTTCTGATGGAGACATTTTCTTAGAATAATAACAAAATATTTTAAAGAGGGATGGACCCACAAACTAGAAGGAATTAACTCACCCCTGCAAGTTTCTCTCTGCACTCCCACCATAACATACATACCCCGATACACCCCAAAAATGAATGTAATCATCTTTTAAAATTTAAAAATAGAGAAGGAGGCCAGGCGGCGGTGGAGCACACCTTTAATCCCAGCACTCACACACCTTTAATTCTAGCACTCAGAAGGCAAAGGTAGGTGGATCTCTGTGAGTTGGAGGCCAGTCTGCTCCACAGAGTGAGTTCTAGGACAGCAAAACAGTGAAACCCTGTCTTGAAAAATATAAACAAAAATGAGGGGGGAGAGGGAGAGAAGGAAAATGTACAGACAGAAAATACACCCCGAATTTCGAGAGCTATTACAGCAGATGGGCCCGAGAAAGATGGGGAGACCCAAGGCCCAGAAGTAGTTGGGAGTGGAGACCAGTTCAGAAGCAGGCAGGGAAGAAAGGCTTGGGAGAACTTCCCAAATGAGGCTGTGTTGTCCGCTTTCCAGCTCCGGCTGCTGACATTGTGGGGCTCGGAGGCCATCCAGTTCTGAGAGATCCAGTGAAGTCTCCTTCATTCATTCAGAAATGAAAATGCACTCAGCACTCAGGAATGTCTTCTGGGGACTTGGGGATGCCAGGCCCTGTCATTTCAGAGCTGTGTCCACTTTGGCATGGAATGGGAGCTAAGCCAGGTAGAACAGAGACAGGTGCTCTGGTAGACACTGAAGAGGAGCAGGTCACATCTTTCCTCGTCTGGACAGGGAACTGTGTATATACCATCTCATTGCACCAGGCCATTCAGTCACCCATACTTCATCCATTCATATTACCCATTGAAGTGTCTAAGGCTTCTTGTATATCTGACCTTGAGATGGATACTTGAGAGGACTGTGACAGGTTGGGCCAGTCTAAGGCGACAGTCAGACGCACAATCACCTCCAATGATGAAGTCCAGAGCAGGGCCATCAGAGGTGGCATGGGTGTTCTAGGGACCTGGTCACGGCACCTGGGAAAGGAAGGAGTGGTAAAAGGAGGGTCCCGCCTGGGTGGTCCACAGAAGGGCTGAGAGGGAGTGAGGGGTTAAGAATCAGGCCCTGCTGCCATGCAGCATAGCTGTCTCTGTCTAGGTGTCTGCCCCTGAATGAGCTGAAACTGCGTGGAAGGTCCCCCAGAAGCACTCAGTCTAATAAATCCAACGAGGATTGCTGCTCTGCTTCATGCGTCCCAACCGCCCCCTTCCCTGAGCTCTGCCTTTTCTTCCTTCTGGGGAACTTAGGCCTCAACACTGTAACTGATACCCAGGATTCTGGCCACGATGACCTCTTCCAGACCTTCAGCAGGTTCAGTCAACTCCGCTAGAGATACCGGTCCTAGCCCTCCTTCCTCAGACCCTGAAGTCCCCCTCTCCACTCTTGTCACCCTCCCATTCTCCAGCCCAGACTCAAAGGTCAGGCTCCAGTCCTCCTCCCTCAGACCCAGGACTCCTGGCCCCAGCTTCTTCCCTCAGATCCAGGAGTCCAGGTCCAGTCTCCTTTCTCAGACCCAGAAGTGCAGGCCCCAGCCTCCTCCCTCAAACTCAAGAGTCCAGGTTCCACTCCTCCTCCCTCAGACTCAGGAGTTCAGGTTTCAGTCCTCCTCCCTCAGACTCAGGAGTCCGAATCAAGGCCTCCCACTTCAAACCCAGAAGCCCATACTCAAGCCCTTCTCCCGCAGGCTCAGGGGTCCACCCCACCCCCACCTTCAATCCTTATCCCCAGCCACTGGCTCTTAGAACCCTGCAATTCAGCTAGCGAGTTTCCAGTCCAGCCTGCTCAGGACAGAAACACAAGTTCTCAGTCCTTCACTGGCTCTTTGCCTCCAGATTTTGGAGTTTGGACTTTGCAACCCCGCCTCCGGACCCTTGGGGAAACAAAATTCCCTAGGTTCTGCCTATTGAAGACCCGGCCCCCAGCCCCTCCTTCCTAGAGGCCTCTCTCCCCCGCCCCTTGTCCCCTTAAAATACCCGGGATCCCTATGGCAACAGGCACCAGCGACAGGTGCGGGTGTTATTTACGGGTCGAGCCCGAAATAGCCGGTGGGGTGAGGGGGTGGGCGGATGGGGCGAGGCCGGGAGCGAGCGCAGCGGGTCCGGAGGGCCGAGCGGGCGGAGGCGAGCAAAGCCGGACGCTTCGGAGGCATCGCGGAGCTGGGGCCGGCGCAGCGCGGAGGCAGGAGAACGCGAGGGGCCCGTACCCGGGAGACCCGGGTGGGAAGACCGAGGGGAACGCGGGACTCCGAGTTGAGACTGGAGCGATTCCGTCCGGGCCGGCCCTGGGAGCCAGGGGGAGGGGGAGCCGAGTGACTAGACGGACTCACTGTATCCCTTCCCAGGTCCTGTGCCCCCAGGGTACTTTTGCTCTGGTTTTCTGAGCCACAGTATGGACCACAGTCCCTTGATCTGAGCCCTGTCGGGACCCCAGGTCTTTCTTCTGGGCCCTCAGAGAATCCCCCAGACTCTTTTTCTGGACACCACATAGATTCTCAGCCACCGTTGAGACCTGGGCTCTTTTCTGTATAGTTCCTGACTCACCCATCCCCTTTCCCCGGAATTCCAGAAGAGTTCACCCGGATCTGTTGTGAATATTGGAGGATACTCCTTGCCTCTCTGAGACTTGGAGGGGTTTCTAATCTTCCCCGGGGAACCACAATTCTACCTCTTGTATAATCTAAAGGTGTTGTGATTCCTCCCTTTACAAACTCTGAGCCCGAAGAACTCTAGACTATCTCTCTCAAACACACAAAACACCTCAGCTTCTCTCTCTGAGAAATTTCTGAGGCTTACTGGAGACCCCCCATCGGCAGCCTGCAGAGACTGGGCAGGTCTTCCCCCTGGAGCTCCCCAGGGTAGGTAAACCCAGGAGCCTGGCTTTTCCTCAAGGCCTCTCCTGTGCCAAATTCATGTGCGCAAGCCCGGGTGGGGTCTGTTTAAACCCACCAGGTATGCTTAGGCCAAGAATATAGCTTGTTTGCTTGTTTGTTTTAATTTATTTTTCCTCTCCTGAGAGGCAGAGGCCTTCTGTTGCATTCGGGGTTCAGCTTTTGCTTATTCCCAATCTAGTTAGCACCCCATTTCCTTGAAAAGTCCAGGCCCTGCTCCCTGCTCTTCAGGGCCCCCTGAACAGGTCTGTCTGACTCCTCGGAGCTCACCTGAGCTCTGCCCTCTCCCATTATCATGATGATGTGGTCTAACTTCTTCATGCAAGAGGAGGACCGCCGTCGAGCAGCTGTGGGACGGCGTCGTGCCCAGGGACAGCAGAATCTTGGCTTGACTCCGGAGCTCGAGGGCAAGATCAAGCTAGTGTTGCTGTTGGCTACCATGGGTGCCACCCTGGCTGTGCTGTCGGTGGGCACCGAGTTCTGGGTGGAATTTAATACATACAAGACCAACGGCAGCGCCGTCTGTGAGGCTGCCCATATGGGGCTGTGGAAGGTGTGCATCAAGCGACTGTGGCAGGCGGACGTGCCCGCGAGCAGGGAGACCTGTGGCCCGGCTGAGCTGCCAGGAGGTGAGAGGCTGTGTCCTGAGCCTGTGTCCCACAGTCAGGGAGAAAGAAGCTTATGTCTGGGAAAACTTTGTTCCAGGAAAAAAAAAAAGTCTTATCTCTGAGAGTTTGTGACTAGATCAACCTGTGCTCACAGAAACTGGAGAAAGGAGGTGTGGGGGAGAGAAGCGCAGACCTAGCCCATGTCCCCCCAGCAGCATATCCCCTAAAGTAATTTATTCCTTTTATAAATTTTTTAAATTTATTTTTTAAAAAACAGTCTTTTCTCATTTTACATACCAATCCCAGTTCCCACTCCCCTCCTGCTCTCTCCATCTCCTTCTCCACCCCACTCCCATCCACTCCACAGAGGGGTAAGGCTTCCTATCGAGAGCCAACAAAGTCTAGCACATCGCTTTGAGGCAGGACCAAGACCCTCCCAGCAATATCTAGAGTGAGCAAAATATCCCTCCACCAAAGAGAATGGGCTCCAAAACGCCATTTCAAGCACTAGGGATAAATCCTGGTCCCACTGCCAGCGGTCCCACATTCAGAGGGGCTAGTTTGGTCCTATGCTGCTCCCCGCCCCCCTTCCCCAGTCAGTCTAGAGTCAGTGAGCTCGCATTAGCTCAGGTAAGCTGAAGAAACTTGTTTCTTAAAGTTTGTCTTCTAGCTATGGCCTGTGCCCCAGACCAGCCTGTACCTCTAGAGACAGCCTGTGCCTTCAGACCCAGCTGGTACCCTCAGAACAGCCTGTAACCACCCCCGCCAACCCGTATCCCCTAGAACTGCCTGCATTCCCCATCAGACAGCCATGCACCCACAGACAGCCTGTGCCCTTAACTAGAAGCCTGGAGACATCCCACATTCCTACTCTGTGAGGCTCTGTGGAGACAGACCACCCTACGCCCACCCGGAAGTCAAAAAATCTGTGCCGATTCCCTGTTTGTGGATACAATCAAACGAAATTCTTACCCAGTACCTCTCACAATTCTGGGTGCACATTGTCTCTCTTGAGAAACGTTTATTGCCAGCCCCTCTCACCTCTATGTCGTCAGAACGAACATTCCCACCCTTCTCCCTTGCTCTATAGGCACCCACATCCTTCGTTTCCCCACATGGTGGTTCCTTTGCTTTCAGCAGTGCCAGAAGGCTATCCTGTACCTCTCACTCTCTGACAGAACACGCTATGCCCTTTTCTTAGACAAGTGGGACATTCTATACCACCCTGGGCACTGGATGGGTGTTTATTTTACCTCTTTTAACTCAAGGACAGTATTTGATACCCATTAAAAACCACTTTGGATATCACTTGTTTGATGAGATCTCTGCGGTACTGCTCTCCATTGTGTACCGGATAGTCTCAGGACCCTTTCACCCCTTCTGGGCTCTGGTTGGATTTCCTTTCATTTCTCAACCGCTACTTTTCCAGATGTGGTATGGAACCTGAAATATAATGTTCTAAGCCTTTGAAGTGGGAAGCCACTGTTTGTGGCTTGAACTACCTGTCTGTCCTGATCAGCTATTTTAATTCTTATTCTTCTCACTGCTTGGGATCTCAGTCAAGATGATCCCAAACCTTTGCAGAATGGGATAATGAAAAAAAATATGGGATGCTAGCTGGGCCTGGTGGTGCAATTCTGTAGTCAAAGGTTCTCAGGAGGCCGAGGCAACTTTGTGAGATCCTCTCTTAAAAAACAAGAAGAGGACTGGAGGCATGTCTCAGTGGTAGAACACTTACCTAGAGTCCCCCAGGGAGAGGCTGGGAGTGTGTAGTGGTAGAGCACCTGCCTAGAATCTCCCAGTGAGGGACTGGAGCATAGCTCAGTGATGGATTTCATCATACTTGTTCTACAGGGGAGAAAAGTAAGGAGCAAGAACTCTTAGTGTCTAATCTGTGCCTCAGGCTAGTTCTGTGTGGTTTGACTTTCAGATGTCTTGGTTCCTAAGAACTATGTTTTGTTGCTGTAACTAGAACTTAAGGTCTTAGAGACCCTCATTCTTTGGAAGAAAAGATTGCCTGCTGCCACTTCACTGTGTATGATGAGGTCCTTCACACCTCTTGCTGTTTTCCTCTGCTTCTCAGAAAGGATTTCACCACCGAGTATGGAAACACACACCAGTACTGAGTAGGCAGAAGCAGGAAGACCAGGAATTCAAAGCCAGCTTGGCTACATAGTGAGTTGTAGGTCAGCCTAGGCTACATAACATCTTGTGCCAAAAACAAAATAAAACAAGAGGACTTCACCTTTCTTACAAGGCCATTCCCAAAATGCCATAATTCTGCTCATCAGAGGACCTCTCTTAGATTCCACTGTCTCAAAGAAATAACTTCATTTGAAAATTAAAAGAAAGCCATTACGTGTCCCTTGGCTATCATATCAGAGAGTGACTCACTCTGTTGCTTCCTAAGTGAGTTTGCCCTGTCCTCTGTGGGACACGGACACAAAGTCCTGTTATCAGCAGCAGCCAAATGGGATGCCAG